CTGGTGTGGCACTGTGGATTAATGCGCCAGACTGCAAAGCCATTTGAACTGCAAGGTCGGTGGTTCAACCTCACCAGCTGCTCCTCGGAAACCCTATACAGGGTCGCTATGGGTCAGAACCAACTCGACAACACTTCACAACAACAACAAAAGGCTATTGGAGAAGGTCACCATGTAGAGATAAAAGTTGAGAAATTCATCATGGTGTCCTCGGTTTCCCTCAGCCAGGCGATCTTTGTTTGTCTTTGTCTTGTGTTTACTCCTGGTATGGATGATAAGCAATGGACTTCAAACTGCAAGGTCAATGGTTCAAAACCACCAGCCACTCTTCGGAAACGCAATACAGTTGTTAAGTACCATTATATCGGGACTGACACAATGGTATTTAACAACAATAATAGCATAATACTTTTTTGGGGAAAAAAAAAAAGGCTGTTGGAATTGAAAGAACCAGGTGAGTCAGAACCTGGAACACCCCATTAGAGTGAAGGAGGCAAAGTCTGGAAGACATGGCAACAGCAGAAAGAAAACAGAGAATTTTATCTCTTACTTCATTTTTCCATTCACTTCTTGCAGAAATGACCAGTACCAACTTATAGCATCAGTTCTCCAGCATGCTGTCATTTCCCCTGGAGAAACCTTAGACTAACATGCTTCTAAGTGTGTTTTATCGTTGGAATGTACAGGTGAAATGTGAAGACCTTCTAGGAGAGTTTAAAACGACACCACAATCCTTGCCTATCTTGCTTATTCTTAAACATCAGTGCGTATTTACTTTAATTGCTTTTCTACTATACTAAGGGGAAGTACACTTAATTGTGCTCATAGGAATCTGTACATGGTCCAAGAGACAGTTGCTCAAACAGAACATGGGAACACTGGTTTAAAATTAAGAAAGGTGTGCGACAAGGTTGTATTCTTTTACCATACTTATTCAACCTGTATGCTGAGCAAATAATCTGAGAAGCTGGGTTCTATGAAGAAAAACATGGCATCAGGATTGGAGGAAGACTCATTAACAACCTGCGATGTGAAGATGATACAACCTTGCTTGCTGAAAGTGAGAGGACTCAAAACATTTACTGATGAAGATCAAAGAGCACAGCCTTCGGTATGGATTACACCTCAATGTAAAGAAAACAAAAATCCTCACCACTGGACCAATAAACAACATTCTTATCAACTGAGAAAAGATTGAAGTTGTCAAGGACTTCATTCTTCTTGGATCAACTATCAACACTCATGGAAGCAGCAGTCAAGAAATCAAACGATATATTGCATTAGGCAAATCTGCTGCACAAGACCTTTTTACAGTGTTGAAGAGCAAAGATGTCAGCTTGAGGACTAAGTTGTGCCTCACCCAAACCATGCTATTTTCAATAACCTCATATGCATGGGAAAGCTGGATAGTAAATAAGGAAGCCTGTAAAAGAATAAATGCTTTTGAGTTTGGTGTTGGAGGAGAATATTAAAAGTGCCACGGGCTGCCCATAGAACCAACAGATTTGTGTTGGAAGAAGTGCAGCCAGAGTGCTCCTTGGAGGCCAAGATGGCCAAACTTCGTGTCTCATACTTCGAACACATTGTCAGGAGGGACCAGTCACTGGAGAAGGATATCATGTTTGGTAGGGTGGAGGGTCAGAGAAAAAGAGGAAGACCCCTAATGAGATAGATTGGCCAAGTGGCAGCATCGATGGACTCCAGCAGGGCAATAGTAATTTCCAGGATCAGGCAGTGTTTCATTCTGCTGTACATAAGGTCGCTATGAGTCAGTACCAACTCGATGGCACCTAACAACAACAAAAAGGGGAAGTACAAGGAGCTCTACTAGTGTAGTGGTTTCGAGTTGGGCTGCTGACCTCAAGGTTAGCAGTTCAAAACTACCGTCTGTTCCATGAGAGAAAGATGAGACTTTCTGTTCCTATAAAGATTTGCAGCCTCAGAAACCTTATGCAGGGTTGCCATGAGTTGGAATGGGCTTGATGGTACTTAATGAAAAAACTATACTTAGGGACTTACTACATCATACAGTTGAAATTTGTTGTTGGTTTTTTTTGGTTTATTTTGTTTTTCTTTTTCTTTTTTATCCAAAGTGTGTTTTTAGAAATCTCTCTCCCAATCATTTTTCTGGAATCCTGGTCTGGTGCTGTAGAACAAACACTAGATCACAAAGTTGGTTTGAACCACAAGGTCAGTGGTTCAAATTCACCAACCACTCCTTGGAAACCCTAGAAAGGGTCGCTATGAGTCAGAATCGACTTGATGGAGTTT